GGGCAGGCGGGGCCTGGGAGGTGCTGGTAAGGTCTGGGGCTTCGTGCAGAAGCAGAGGGAAGGGGTGAGGGTTCGTGCATCTGTCCTCGTGGAATCCACTCCGGAGGTGTGGGGGTTCAAGTAGAGGATAAAAAACTCATGCTGACCAGGCCCCTCCTGGCTGGGGGGCCCAGGATAGAGGTCACAGTCCTGGCCTGGCACACAGCATGCCCTGACCACCCTTCCCTCTCCCTGCACTCCCTGTCCCCCCACATCCCCCACACACCGCCCCTGTGCTGTAGCCATCGGGCTCCTCGCCCTCCCTGAGTGCCAGCCCTGGCAGGCGCCTGGCTGTTGCACTCCCTCCCTCCCCAGCCGCCTTTCTGTCTGCCCATCACTCTGGCTTGCCCTTCAAGGCCCAGGAACAGGCCCGTGCGGCAGGCAAGTGCGCCTGCCTTCGTCTCTATCTGAGGGTTGTGTTGCTTCCTTTTCCCAAAGCTGGAGCCCCAGAGGGCGCAAGGCAGGAAGTTGTCCTGAGGGTGAGGCTTTTATGGCAGCGGAGGATGGGAGAGCTGCACAGCACGGGCGGGTGTGGCCGGCCACCTCCCGCAGCCGCAGCCGCTGGCCTTTACTGAGCTGACAGCCTTGGCGTCTCGTTGGAAGGTCACGGAGAAGTTCTTGGAGGAACGTCAGTACGGCAGATGCAGCCACGGGGTCGGCTGGCTGTGTCCACCAGGCTGACGCTTTGCCTTCCAAGGACACGTTGGGGAGGGCCGGCTCCTGGGGGTCCAGGCACAGCCGGTGCCTTTTGATGGGTGGGTGGGGCGCTCTGAGGGCCACCCCCAGGCTGCAGAGGAGCCCCTCAGAGTCACTTCGCATGAGGCAACCCTGGGAACGGGAGTGAGGCCTGTGGGTGTGTCTTGCAGGTTTACTTCAAAGACACCCACCCCAAGTTCCCCAGCGGAGGGAAGATGTCCCAGTACCTGGAAGGCATGAAGATCGGGGACACCATCGAGTTCCGGGGCCCGAACGGGCTGCTGGTCTACCAGGGCAAAGGTGCGCGGGCTGGACCCCGAGGACCCACAGGCCCGTGGGTGCTGGTGCAGGGCCTGACTGCTGCTTCTGGGTGACTTGTTGGACAAGCTGTCCCCTCTGCGGGGCCTCAGTTTCCCCAGATGTACAGGGGATAGTGGGCCAGCGCAGGGTTGCAGCTGCTGCCCTTGGAGGCCACATCCAGCCCACAGACCAGCCTCGTGTGGCTGAAAACAAGGGGAGGTTGTGCCGGAAGCCTCTGGGCGCCAGCCGCTGTCGCTCCCCACGCCGTCCACACGAGGGAGCCATGCTGGGCTCCTCTGGCATTCGAGTTGGTCCTTGTCCCACCGCCCCTCCCTCCCCCTACCTGGCTGGTGTTGGATGGTGGGTGCCTGCGCCTCGGACCCCCAAGCGGGCGGGTTCTCCAGCCCATCCGAGCCCCAGACACAGCGTGTTGGAGAGCGGGCCTCACCCCTTCTCCTCTCCCCAGGAAAGTTCGCCATCCGTCCGGACAAGAAATCCAACCCAGTCATCAAGACGGTGAAGTCCGTGGGCATGATCGCGGGCGGGACAGGTGTGTGGTCCCGGAGCCCCTCACGGAGTCCCCAGCGCGTGGATGCTGTGCGTGGGGTCAGGGTGTGGGGCGGGGCACAGATGTGAGCAGCTGTGAGCTGCCCGAGGTCCTGGCACCTCCCCTGGCACCCGCGTGGCACCTGGCCTGTGTACAGCAGGGGCTCACCCAGCCTGGGGGGCTGCCGTTTTGCAGGCATCACCCCGATGCTGCAGGTGATTCGCGCCATCATGAAGGACCCGGATGACCACACCGTGTGCCACCTGCTCTTTGCCAACCAGGTCAGTGGGCGTTCCTGAGGTGCAGACCCGGCCCCTGCTGAGAGGGGCGCAGGGCCTGGGGGGACATGGTCTGTGAGGCGCTCAGGCAGCTAACATGAGGGGTGCTCTGAGCGCGTGTGCCCGGCACCCTTTGCAGCAGCGGGTGGGGGTGGGGCTTTTCAGCCCAGAGCCCCGTGTCTGGCCTGACACTTGGGGGTTGGAGAGGCATCAGGCACCTGGAGCACCCCCACCTGAGACTTGCTCCTCCAAACCTCAGAGCTCCCTCCCTGAGCAGAGCTCAGAACCCCCCAGTGAAGTGGGCAGACGCTGGCCGGGCCTGAAGACGGGCCGTGTCATAGGAGAGGTGCCGAGTCCACCTGCACTAGGGCCCTGAGCTGGGGTGTCGGCAGGGTTTGGACCTGGTTTCTCACTCCTGAGTGCATGTCCTCCCCGCGCCCGCTGCCTGCCCACCCTGGCCGCTGTGTGGCCTTGGACAAGTCACTTTCCCTCTCTGTGCTTTCCCTCAGCTGGAATGAGCAAGGTCATCACAAGTCCTTCCTGGTTCAGCGTTTCATGGCTGATGATAGGGGTTTTGTAGTGACGTCCCCTTATGGGGAGGCTGGATGAGACATTCCTTCCCACAGTGTGGAGGCCGTGCCAGGTGCGGGCTGTGTCTGGCCCAGTCTCTGCACCATCCGTCTGAGGAAACTGAGCCCAGGGGGCTGGAGACTGGCCTAAGGTCCTTGGACCCTGCGCAGTTACAGAAAATTGCCCTGTGGCCAACCAGGGTGGCCTTCACGGGGCCCGGGGTGGGTGGAAAGAGCCAGAAATTCCAAGCTGCTGGTGGGGCAGGAGGGCCGGCAGCAGCTGCGCTTGTCCGTGCTGGGTGAGTCTCTGGAGGCCTCCGCCCTCTGTCCCCCCGCGGGGCACCCCGCCCCCGTTAGCCCGATACCTCGACGCTCTGGACATGGAGACCCAGAGCGGGTGTGGCCCATGTGTTACAGGAAGTGGTGGAGCCAGGGTATTTTATGAAAAATCACTGGGACCCAAGCCTATTTAATGGAAAATAGCCGTATTTTTGAGAACGTCGTTTTGTTTTACATCTGGGAAGCCCTTGTAATGTCTGGCTCCAGGCCTGTTTCTGCTCTCGGTGCGGTGGCTCAGGTCACGATGCCCCCAGCCGGTCCCCGGGCCTTCCTCAGGGAACGAGTGGAAAATGCCCATCAAGTCCTCGTATCAGATGAAAATCGTCTGACCTCACAGCCCCCAGGAGGGTCCCCGGGACCCAGGGGCTCACAGGCCATGCCCAGTGGGAATGGCCACTCTGCCCATCCGGGTCTTGCCGCTCCTCCGCTCTGTCCCGAGAGGGAGGACACGGGGCTCTGCGCCCAGCCCCACCTAAGGGAACACGCCTTTCAGAAGGACATTAGCCTGGCCGGTGGGTCAGTGGTTAGAGCGTCAGCCCACGGCCTGAGGGTAGAGGATTCGATTCCTGGTCAGGGCATGTGCCTCAGGTGCAGGCTCGATCCCCAGCTCCAGTCGGGGCACGTGCCGGAGCCGTCATTGTGGCTCTCGCATGGATCTTTCTCTCCCCCACTCCTCCCTCCCCTCCACTCCCTCTAAAAAAATCAGTGGGAAAAATGTCCTCAGGGGAGGGTAAAAACCAAAAGCGGGACATTAGGGAGCGTTAAGAGCAGTGGGGCTGAGACTCTAAAGGCGCCGGTTCCTGACAAAGTAATACTCGTTTCCGGTGGGGATCCCCCTTTCCCATGACAGAGCAGTGCAGGGTGGTCAGGGAGACGGGTACGTGCGCAGCCAAGGGCGTCTGAGAAGGAGGAGGAACAGGAGGGACTTAGCACACGATGTAACGTCGCACTGTAAAGGCGCCTGGCGGAACCGCGGCTCTAGAGCCACACGGGAGACCTGGGCTCACTGGTCCTCCTGCATTTCTGGGAAACACGACCGTCTAGACCAGCGGTTCTCAACCTGTGGGTCGCGACCCCTTTGGCGGTCGAACGACCCTTTCACAGGGGGCGCCTAAGACCATCCTGCATATCAGATATTTACATTACGATTCATAACAGTAGCAACATTACAGTTATGAAGTAGCAACGAAAATAATGTTATGGTTGGGTCACAACATGAGGAACTGTATTTAAAGGGCCAGAAGATTGAGAACCACTGGTCTAGACTGTGCTGGAACATGCTAGAACATGTGGCCATTCACATTTAAATTAATCAAGATCAAAATCTAAAACTTGCTTTTCCAGTCCCACTAGCCATATTTTTTTTAAAATATATTTTATTGATTTTTTACAGAGAGGAAGGGAGAGGGATAGAGAGTTAGAAACATCGATGAGAGAGAAACATCGATCAGCTGCCTCCTGCACATCTCCTACTGGGGATGTGCCCGCAACCCAGGTACATGCCCTTGACTGGAATCGAACCTGGGACCCTTCAGTCCGCAGGCTGACGCTCTGTCCACTGAGCCAAACCGGTTTCGGCCCACTAGCCATATTGCATGGGTTCCGTAGCCACATGTGGCCAGTGGTTACCACATCGGCTGACACAGGCCTAGAACATTCCCATCACGGCAGAAGGTTCTGTAACGTCTGACCTGGAAACAGGCCCAGGTGTCTATGAGACGTTGTATACGATGCAGGGGCATCGCAGCCTGAGGAGAGATGGACATGGGTGTCGGGCCCTGGCCAGTGGGGCTCGGGCTGAGCGGCATCCTGTGGCCAAAAGGTCGCTGGTTGGGTTCCTGGTCAGGGCACAAGCCCGGGTTGTGGGCTCGATCCTCAGTGGGGGGCGTGCAGGAGGCAGCCGATAGATGTTTCTCACGTTGATTTGTTTTTTCTCAAATCAATAAAAACATTTTTTTAATGGGTATTGGATGGCCTAGCTGGTTTGGCTCAGTGGATAGAGTGTCAACCTGTGGACTGAAGGGTCCCAGGTTCGATCCACAGTGTGGGGTGTGCAGGAGGCAGCTGATCAGTGATTCTCGCTCATCATTGATGATTCCATCTCTCTCTCCCTCTCCCTTCTTCTCTGAAATCAATAAAAATATATTTTAAAAAATTAAGAAAAATGAAAATAAAAATGAAAAGCAAGTTTTAGATTTTGATCTTAATTAATTTAAATGTGAATGGCCACATGTTCTAGCATGTTCGACAGCACAGGTACTAAAATTGAAACAATACAGAGAAGATTAGCACGGCCCCTGCACAAGGAGGACACGCAAAAGGGGAAAGTGTGGTTCCGTGGGAGGCTGAGGCGGGGCGCTTTCTGAGGGCAGGGTGACCTTGGCTGTAAAGAATGTCTTTGGGTTGAAACCACGGAAGCTTTGTCCCTGACCCGTGTTCCTGAACCTGAAGCTGCCTTTGTGAGCTTAGGAGTCGGTTCTTGTTAAGTAAACAGTTAACAAATACAAAAGAAGAAAACGAATGCAGGGTTAGTTGCTATGCGTTTGGGAAAAGCGTAGATCCCTCCTTTACCTCACGTAGAATGAAGCTTAGGTCAGAGATGTGCATGTGAAGCAGCAGAACAGCCGCGGGGAGCGTTTTCCCCAGAAGTACTGCTGAGTGAGTGAGTGGCTGAGGACGGCCGGCTAGGCCAGACGGAGAGAGACTCAGCCACAAGGAAAGGCTGGTGGAGTGAGTTCCCTGCTGAAAATTAGAAACGTATCAGTGTAGAACATACTAGTGTAGAAAGATAAAGAACTAAGAAGAACCGTATCACCAATAGACTATCCTTAATATTAAGAGTTTTATAAAGTAATAAAAGCTACAACTAGACCAGTGACAAACTTATTTATTAATTACATCTATAAAAGGCTAAGCAACAGGCCAACCTGCCGGTAGGTATGATGCACACTGACCACCAGGGGGCAGGTGCTTAACGCAGGAGCTGCTGAGCTGCGGTGACTTGGCAGCGGTGGTTCTCGGGTGACGCACTCCTGAACCAGAGAGGAGGGAGCCCAATTTCTAGCCGGGCTGCGAGATTCCCCCAGGCTGCAAGACCCACCTACCGGAGGGACCCTGCTCACTCCGGAGGGACCCTGCTCACTCCGCAGACGCCCTTTGAGCCGTGGCCCCGGCGCCACCCCAGGTGGGGCCGGCTGGGGAGGGGCTGTGGGAGGTTGGCTCTAGCGCGTCTGGCCTGTCTCGCCCAGTCCCGCCCTGCTGGCCATCTTCTAAATCATTTCCTTTCAATGTGCACTAATCCGTGTGCCGGGTCACTAGTAAAATACAAAGCATGAGATTTACCTTCTACCGGTCTGATTGGCAAAGATTGAACAGTTATTACCCAGTGTGGGCAATGGTGTGGGAGCATGGACACTCCCTGTCGTGCCCCTGCGGAGTCTGGGAAGGCTTCCCGGAGGAGAGGGCCATGAGCTGAACTCGGGCTGTGTGGGCTGCAGGCGTCCGATTGCCTGATGGATGGACGTGCACCTGCGATGCCGGACCCTGAGGGCTTGTCCCAGGGCTGCGCGTGGTGACGTCATGCTTTCTCTGAGCCACGCATTGTTCGAAGCCTCACAGTCCCCCCTAGGGGCCGTCACGACCAGGGGGTTGGCCGTTTCCTCCCAGTCTCCCCTCCGTCTGGGCGATGAGCGCTCCACCTGCAGTGCTGGTCCCCACCCTCCGCTCCCACTGTGCCCCGCATCTCCCCACCGCGTTCAAACCCGCCTGCGGCGGGACCCGCCCTGTGCCAGAGGAGGGGCGTGTGTCTAGGAGTCTGGCAGGCTGTGCCAGCGTGTGCCCATGGGTGGGCGACAACGAGCCATTGGGCGATGAGTGTCTCCAGGGCAGTCCCTGCCGCCGCCCTCCTGACCCGGACTTGTCCCCCCCAGACCGAGAAGGACATCTTGCTGCGGCCGGAGCTGGAGGAGCTGAGGAACGAACACTCGGCGCGCTTCAAGCTCTGGTTCACGGTGGACAAAGCCCCTGAGGGTGAGTGGTGGGCGCCCGGGCAGGGCGGGCTGGTGGGGGCGCTGGGCTCCTTGGCGCCTGCTCTCCTCTGCATGCTCTCGCCGTGGCCTGAGAGAGGGACGCCGTGATCCGCGCCTGTCACACAGCTGGAAAACATCAGGGACGGGCTTGAACTCACGGGCTCCTCCCCAGCCCTGGCTGCACTGCCCCCTGCTGGACGAAGGAGGCTGGCCTTCCCCTGGGGCTGGGACTCACTGTGGGCAGGTCTCCAGGGGCCGAGCTGGGGGCTGATGGCTCCCACCCTGTGGTTTGTACCCTGTTAGGCCCATTTTTCTCTCCAGTCGTCAGCCTGGGAGTGGGCTAGACTGACGGACGGTCACCCCTGCCTGTCCAGGTGTTTAAGCTGTTTGCAGGGTCACACAGCTGATTGTGGAGGAGCCAAAACCATGTAGGAGACAGTGAGTGAGGGCTGCCCCCCACCTTGAACAAGGTTGCCCTCTGGGAGCTAAACGACTTCATCTCCTGCCTTCGGTAGATGCGGATGCAAACAGTTATCTTCGTTGCTGTGGGAAAAGCAGCAGGTCAGGCTTCTTGGTAGATAATAGCGGTGATGTTTGCTTGGGGTTAGAGGCAATAGGGAGTGGTGGGGAGTGGGGCGAATTGGAGAGCATCTGCCCCTCAGCTGCATGTCAGTCAGCCACACAGGAATTCCGCCTGCAGACCAGGCCTCTCCACTCCTTAAGGGAGCTGGACCTGCATTTTCATGGGAAATTTCAAATGTTAGAAATAACATTTTCTAAGTAGCCATGTAGGCGCCAGCTTGTAATCTCCTTCGGTTCTGCCAGCCCCCCTTGCTTGGCCTCCAGCTTCTCACCCAGCCCCACAGTTCACTGGGACTCAACCATGTGGGGGGAACACACCGCTCTCTGAGAGAGGGACGCCGTGATCTGCGCCCGTCACACAGCTGGAAAACATGAGGGATGGGCTTGAGCTCACAGGCTCCACCCGAGCCCTGGCTTGGACACTCACGGCACCACTCTACGGGGTCCCGTGCCAGGGGCCAGCAGGAGTCGCCCAAGACCATCCTGCATATCAGATATTTACATTAGATATTTACAGATGGACACCCATGTCCATCTCTCCTCAGGCTGTGATGCCCCTGCATCGTATACAACGTCTCATAGACACGTGGGCCTGTTTCCAAGTCACCCGTCCTGACCAAATCGGGTCCTGGGCCTCCTGGCCGAGAGCCAGACCCGGGCTAGATGGACTGCGGACCTGACGGCTGTGTCCTGAGGCCTCTGGCTGGACTGGCCATCCTGGGCCAGCTCACCTGGGTTACAGGTCCCCTCCCGGTCGGGTCCCCCGCTGTGGGTGCTCATGAAGCCAGCCTGGCCCCGGGGCTGATGTTCCAGTGGGAAGGAAGCAGGTTTATTAGTAAATCACAGCATGGTAGCAGGTGGCCAGTGAGACCCGGGAAGACAGTACCGTTGGTCGGGCAAGGCCTTGAGTGAAGGCCGGGGGGTGGGGGTGGGGTGAGGGCACTGGTTCTGCGAGTCAGAGCTGCTCTTCTAGCAAAGAAAGGAACCTTTCTCTTGCACCCAGGTCTCAACAAAAAAGGGGAGAGTGAGGGGTAGGTAGCTGTGTTCTGGTGCAGGTTCTGGAGTGGTAGGGGAGGCTCACCAGCCACCATGGAACCGCCTTGCCTGTTGCCAATGGACGGCCCGTCCCCTGGAGGAGGGGCCAACACTGACCCCTGCTGGCGGCACACGGCAACGCCAAGACCAAATGCCGCCTCCCAGGGACTGTCGAGCAGGACCAGTTCGGGGCCCAGGGAGGGGCCGTGGGCTTTCTCCTCTCGTTTACATTTATGCTTAGCGTCCCCTGACCCCCGTTTCGAGAGCATTAAGGTGTGGCTGTAACGTTAGCAGAAGCTGGGCTTGTAGATGCTGAGAAAGAAATGGCAGCTGAGCAGCACAGCCATCCTGAGCTCAGCGGGGGCACAGGAGAGGGGCCCGCCCATGTGGCAGATGCAGCGGACACGCTCCCCCATAAGCCACCTCCGTGCACGCGTGGAGAAAAGCACAGTCTGTAGAAATGGGGGTGTGCCATAGGCCTGCACATTCCACCCGTGAGCAAATACAGTTCCGTTCCCTGCGGTTTTTTACGAGGTCCTTTCAGATACGTTCCCAGCTATAAAAATGTCACGTGTCTGTGCCCTGACTCATTCCAGAAGGCTGTTAGGCAGCTTAAGAAGACTCCCAGCGTGAGTCAGAGGGGTACAAACAGAGAGCGGGTGAGGAAGACAAGGGCAGGGCGTGCCATAGAATCAGGAACGAGGTTTGTACGAAACCATGGACTGGGATGCACACTTGCTGCAGCTCCTGAGCTTCCCAGCAGCCGAAGGGAAAAGGGGATGTGGTCAGTGCCCATACGATAGAGAATGCTCCATTGCTCAGCACCCCATCACCAAGGCAAGCTGGGACTGTGGCCCCTGGCACGGGACCCCGTAGAGCGGTGCCGTGAGTGTCCATCCAGCCAGGCCCTTGGTCTCCTGCGCTTGCCCTTGGCTTCCAGAGCTGTTTCCGTTGGTGTCCAGGGCTTTAGCGAGGCTTTTCCAGCCTGAAAACAGACCAGCCAGGTAATCGGGGTTCAGGGTGGAGGGACTCGGAGCAGAGCCGTCCCCAGCCTCTGCCAGCCCTGGTGGAGCACTGGGCCCTCTAAGCCAGCGTCCCTCCGTCTCCTCCCCCTCCCATCTGCTGCCCTCCTCCCTCCACCTGCTGCCTGTCCCACCATCCCCGCTGCCCCTGTGCCCCTCCCCCCAGAGCCCAGCTAGAGGATCTGCCTGGGTGACCACCCCACCCATTGGCCAGAGCGCACGGGCCGGCCTGGGCTTGGGCCCTCACGGTGGGATCAGGAGGTGGCCAGTGGGCTCCTTGGAGGGGAGGCAGCCATTCGTTTGTCTCTCGGGCTGAGCTGCTCGGCACAGGGTCATGTGAGAGCCCTCAGTCCCCAAGGAGTGTGTGTCCCGCCCGAACCTGGGAGCCGTGAAGGAAGGTGAGCTTCACACGGGCCCCTCCTCACTCGTCTGAAAGAGGCGGCAATGGTTAGGCAGCACGTTTGAAAGATGGGAGACCCCCTCCCCCCTGGACCGCGTGGCCCCGTGCGGTAGGCAGGATGGCACTGTGAGGACACGTGGACACTGGGGCACAGCGGGGTCGATGCCCAGCAGATGGGAAGCCAGAGCCAGAGAGGGGGCGGCTCCCCTTCCTCTCTTCTGCCCCTGGCGGTGCCCAGCGGTCAGAGCCCCACTCTCCCATCGGACTTCTGCCAGCCTTCGGTCCCCATCGGTCCACTGCACCCCTCTGAGCAGCCCCTACAGCGGGCCGGCCCCTGAGGGTCCAGTTAGACTAGAGCCCTTGCCAGCCTAGGTGCCAGGTTCTCACCAAGGGCACCGTCAGTCACCCGGAGGAATGAAGGGAGGTTCCAGACCTCAGGCGAACCTGGAGACACACTGTGTGCGAGATGGGGTGCGGGCAGGGCCAAGACCGCTGTGTGTGGGTCTTGCTATTTCCAGGCTCATTCACTGCTGGTTTGGGACACATTCCTTCCTTCATTATTAATTGAGCAAGTACTATGTGCGGGCTGTCTGGGCACTGGGAACACAGCGCATGGGCCGGCACCCTGATGGAGGCGGTGTTGGTAGAGACTGTCACCTTGACCAGCCTGGAGCTGGACACTGGCTGGGGGACAGACCCCTGGGACCTGGAGTCCACATCCTAGCTGAGCGGATGCCTCCGTGTGTGACCTTGGGCAGCTCAATTCTGGGTCCTCTGGGCCTCAGTTTCCCCGTCTGTAAAATGGGATCCTTAGTCCTCTCGCTGTCCACACACTGGTGGTTCTGAGGGCCAAATGGAAATGAAAGGTTTTGTGAACCGGAGACCCAGAAGGGCTTGCGTTGTGCCGTGGGCAGGCCAGGCTGGGCGGGCATCAGCGCGAGGGTGGCTTGGATCAACCTCTTCACTCTTCAGTGTTTGTTGGGAGAAGGGAAGCATTCTCGGGCCAGGACCTCATCCGCGTGGGAGGGGTGCTGGGCAGGGGCCATGCTTGGGCTCACCTAGTCCCTACCCCCCCCCCCCCCCCCCCGCAGTTTGGGACTACAGCGAGGGCTTCGTGAACGAGGAGATGATCCGGGACCACCTCCCGCCGCCGGAGGAGGAGCCGCTGGTACTGATGTGCGGGCCGCCGCCCATGATCCAGTACGCCTGCCTGCCCAACCTGGACCGTGTGGGCCACCCCAAGGAGCGCCTCTTCACCTTCTGAGGCCGGGCACTGCTGCGCGCATGCCCGCCCCGCCCCCGCCCCCCGCCACCTTTACCCTCACCCCCACATCCCTCACTGTGGCCCGGGGCTCGGCCTGGCCTGCCCGCGCCCGCCCGGCGGTCACCCTGCTGGGCTGGCCCCCAAGGCGCCCTTTCGGGATCAGGGTTCGGTTACTGTAGACGCCACGGCCGCCTTCAGGACAGGCTCCTGTCTGACCCTCACTGGTTCTTACAGTGATGGCCGCCCGGGCTCAGCCCTCCCTCAGCCCCACCCCGCACACTACTGGGCCCCGGCCGCCAGCACCCAGCTCCACCGCCCTCCCAGAGCCGACCACAGGCGGAAATGACCGGAAATACACGGCAGTCAGAGCTGCGGGTGCCGGGGACTCCCCTGCCACCACCTGGGGACCCCCGCCAGCACCCCTCACTACCTGCCTCGGGGCCAGGCCAGGCGTCAGCACCTGACACTACAGGGCAGGTACCACCCAAAGGTCCCCTTGGCAGGGACTGCTGGGGTGAGAGGCTGCCCCCCAGGGCTGGGAGGAGGGGCCGGCTGAGGGCCCGCCCCCCGGCACATGGTCCTCCCCAATGCACCCAGACTCTGGGCAGCTTTGGGAGTTCCAAGCTGTCGGCTCGGTGGTTAGAGCGACCACTTCAGGGTCCTGGGCCCCAGCCCTGACGGCAGAGGGAGGACAGAGCTACTGGTTATTTCTTCCTCTGCCCCGAACCCGCCTCCTGCTGCCTGCGCCCCGCCCCGCGTGGGGGAGACTTAGCAGAGCCTCTTGTCCGCGCCACATTCTCAGTGGCCGCGTGGTTGCCTTTAGACAGCAGTGGGTTAGCCTCTTGCATATCAGCTTTTTCAGAGTCATTTATGAGCAGAAAGAAGGTTGAAATAAAACTTCGCTAATGGTAACCCTCGTGTGGCTCCCTGAGCTGTGGACCTGTGTCCCTGTGGGGGGGCGGGGGGGACAGGCTGCGCGGGCCTGGCACTTGGAGCAGGAAAGTACACGGGAAAACCCGCCCGAGGCCAGCGCTGGTGACCAGTGACCCCACATGCGCCGCCGAGGGCCCTGCTTTTCCCCGATGCCGGGGGATGGGGGCTCTCCCTGTCCTCACTCACAGGACCCCCGCGGTCGGACAGTCGGCTGTTTCCAGTTGGTGGGTTCTGAGTGACTGGCTGCTTCACCCCTTCCAGGCTGTCTTCTAGGACAGATTCCTGGGGGCAGGAGCCGAGCTGGGGCTGGACCCCGGGAGGCCAGCACTTAAACTCCCCACGTGCCCATCCTGTTCATGTCAAATCCCCGAGGTGAGGCCTGGCGGGACCTCAGGTCTGTCCTGGGCTCTCCGCATGTCCCAGGGGCTTCCTTTTAGTTCTCTCCGCCTGACAGCCCCGAGGGGAGCAGGGCAAAGTCATCAGCCCCACTTCTGCTGCAGAGACAGGCTCAGCAAGCAATGGCTTTGGGGTTGGAGGTGGGGCCTGGTGAGGCCGGTGTCCCGCCCTGTGGAAGGCTCCACGGGGAAAGGCGCTCACTGGTTTCCGCACCCATCTCACCAGCCGTTCCACGTGCTGGGGGCTCTGGCTGCCCCACGCGCCCCTCCCCGCTCCTGGGCAGCTAGCGAGCAAGGCACCAGGCAAGGAAGCGGTGGTGGTAAATGCCAGGGAGGGAAGCCCTGCCAGGAGAGGACCTGCGAGGCTGTGGCGGGAAGGATCCGCCCTGCTGGGGTAGGTGTTGAGGTGGTGGGAACAGCAAGGGAAAGAGCCCTTGTGGTCAGAACAAGCTCATGGAATAGACTTCCAGACAGATCAGAGGAGGCAGGTGGCTGAGGTGATACTGCAGATGAGGTTGGATCGGAGTGACCAGCAAGTGCAAAGGCCCTGGGGCAGGGACCTGCTGGGAGGCACAGGGAACATGGTAAAGGCCAGTGTGGCTGGAGTGGAGGGGGGAAGAGGAGGAGATGGGGTAGTTAACAGGAAAAGGATCGTCCCTTTTTCCTCTCCTCTTACCTTCTATTCTGTCTCCAGTGGTCAGGAGAGGGACTGACCTGGGAACCCCAGGCCCCCATGGCCCTTCACACCCACTGTATGCTGGGCTCTGCTGAGCACTGGATACACAGTCGGTCGTCTCATTCCTGCCTCCATCTGGAGGGTGAGAAAACGGGCCTGAGGGTCAGGGTCTGAACGCACATCTGCCTGAGCCCGCTGGAAGCTGTCTCCTGGAGCAGGGAAGAAGGGCATGAATTGCGTCTGGTCTCCCCTCTCCTGGTCTCAGTTTCCCCACCTGTAAAATGGGTACATGAACTAGGTCAGTGATTCTTCACCCTCTCAGACCTGAGAAGTGAATTCACAGGTAATATCACTAGTCTGTACAGAATTTAAACACACACACACAGCTCTAACTACATTATAAAAGAGCAAGAAAGAAAAGGAATTTATAAAATGGGGTTCGGTCAGGGTTTGCCCAAATGCCAGGCCCCTGAACTGTCTCAGCCCAATTGCAGCCGGGCTCCTGGGCTCCCAGGCGGGCACAATTCTTGCTCAATTTCCAAACAAAGCAGGACCCAGTTCCTCGGCTCCTGCGCAGCTACCTTCCTGGCAAGTCCATGTTTTTGACTCCGGACAAAAGTCCCGCGTGTTCATACAAGAATTGGAGCGAAGCCGGGCTCAGTCGCAACCGGCCTCTCGGCTCCAGGAATGTCGCTGGGGATGGGAGACTGTCCCACCTCCACGTGACCGGATCTCTGTCCTCTGGACAACCAAAAAGGACCCCGCAAAGCTCGGAAATGCCCCTGGGGAGGCACCCCGCTGAGAGTCCCAGAATAAACTGATTTCAGTTGTGCTGGCTTTTAAAAATTATTGAAGTGACTTTTATACCTTTCACTTAAGGCACCACAGGGCTTTAACTCCTGCACCCTCTGGCTGCTTCCTGGTTCTGCACCTGCCCGCCACGGTCCAGCTGGCCCCAGCTGGGGCGGAACCTGGGCCTCCCTTCTGCACCCCTGGGAGGGAGGGGATAATGGCCGCTGTTGGCAGCTGAGAAAAGGAAGGCCAGCCAGCACCCAATCACAGCCGCCCAGGTGGGACCTGGATTCCCCTCTGTCTGGTGCCCACGCCCAGAGCTCTTGCCCAGTTTTTCCATGGAGCTTCTGGTGCCAGATTTGTAATGATTATTTCAGAGAAGAAGGGAGAGAATCATTGATCAGCTGCCTCCTGCATACCCCACACTGGGGATGGAGCTCACAACATCGCATGTGCCCTGACCGAAAATTGAACCGTGACCTCCAGGTTCATAGGTCAGTTGACAATCACTGAGCCACCTCAGTTGGGCCTGATGCCAGATTTTTAATTGTAGTGTGATGTTCTGTCAAGTGCACATAACTCATTAACCAAAGTCACAACTTATTTTTATTTTTTTTAAAGTGGACTTTTTCATACTTTTAAAATACATTTTTTAGTTCAGAGAGGAAGGGAGAGGGAAAGAGATAGAAACATCAATGATGAGTGAGAATCATTGGCTGCCTCCTGCACGCCCCACACTGGGGATAGAGCCTGCCCCCGGGCATATGTCCTTGACTGGAATCAAACCGGGACCTTTCAGTCCGCAGACCTACCCTCTATCCACTGGGCCAAACCGGCCGCTAGGGCCAATGTCACAATTAAAAAAAAAAAAGGGGGGTACATAACTCCACTCGCAGTGTTGGACTAAGAAAATAATTAACAGCTCATAAAGCATTAAGCTATTTACATCTGCAGGGCCAAGTGTGGCTCTGGGACTGAGCCAGGCGGCCCCCCACTCGTCACCCCGGTAACCACTGCCTCTTAACACGCCACAAAGGGAGCGCCCAGTGGGAGCGCCTACTGTGTACCGCCGTTCTCAGGGTGCCCAGTAGACAGACTCCAGCTCCCCAGCTCCCCAGTTCCCCCTCTGGCTTCGCACCAGCCTGTCCTTTAAGCGTGAGGGGGTCGGGCAGATCGCAGCACCCAGGCATCCCGCAAAGTAGGCGGGTCACCTCAGGGGCAACCTTTACCCGCTCAAAAATTCGTCTCACATTAGCAGTGAGGATTCGGGCGTCACCCCGAATCGTTATTTTCCTTACTCATAAGTTTAAGGCATAAAGGAGCCCGTCCGTTCCTCGCTACATGGTGGTTCCGAATCTCATTAGTGCTACGGTGAGTGTAAAAGTTGACCGTTGAACTGAGATCCCCGTCCCTTTAAAGTTGATCTTAATACTAGTTAATATTTTATGTCGTTTTTCGTTTTATTTGTCCGGCGCGGGGAGAGAATAGAGATGATAATGACCTCACACTTCGTATGCAGATAAGCGGCTAGCGCCGCTAAGGCTCACGGGGAGCGCTCCGGCCCTTCCGGTTCTGCCTACTTTGAACTGTCGCGAGAATTCGTCAAGGAAACGCCGGAAACAGCTCCTCAGTAGCGGCTGAAGGGGCGGTCTCGAGGAGTGAGGGAATCCGAGCTGCTCCGTGGTGCAAGATGGCGGACATCTCCCTGGACGAGCTTATCCGGAAACGGGGAGCTGCGGCAAAGGGGCGGTAAGCGGCCTTTCCTCCCTTCGGGGTTTAGGGCCCGTGGCTTAGCGCGGCTCGGGGTGGAGGGGGAGCGGCCCGTGGTGGAGGGGGGAGCGGCCCGGGGCGACGGAGGGCCTCCTGCGCCCGCCCCCTGCCGGAGCCGCGCCGCTATTGGCCCGGCCGCCGCCGCCGCCGCCACAGGCCCGGCCGTCCGGCCGCCCACTGGCTGCAGGCACCGTCGCTTCGCGGGCCAGGGGAGGCTGGCGTGGCCGCTGGCGGCGCGGGGCCGGGGTACGCGGCCTGTGGGAGCGGCCGAGGGGCGCCCTCAGGGGGCGGAGCTGCCCTCCGGGTCCCGAGCGCTTCCCCGGCGCAGCCCCCTCCCGAGAAGACGGGCGCTCGGGCCCCGCTCCCCGCGCCCTCCCCTCGGCCTTCGGGTTAGACGAGTGGACTGCGACGGGGCCGCGACTTGCCCGGACTCTGCGGGGACCGTCCTCCGCCTCCGGCGCTGTTCGCCCCCGTCCCCCCGAGCGCCCGAGGACACTGTCTCGTTGGCATTTTCCCGGCCCGGCCGGCGGGTTGTCCCCATTTTACAGATGCGGACTCGAGGCTGGCAGGGGCAGAGCGCCGGGTCCGAGGCCGCGGCGAGCAGGGCTGCGCTTGAAGTTGCTGCCGGAGGGGCCTCGGCGGGGGCGGAAACCCGGGGGGGGGGGCTTGGCCGTTTCCGGCGGCCGCAGCTCCGGTCCTCGGAGGGGCTGGGGCTGGGCGGGGAGCTGCAGAGGCGACGTGCCGTCCGCGCCCCGGACTTAGGGCCCGCGGGCCGCCCTGTGTCGGGAGCGGGGGCCCGGCCCGGGGTTTCCTGCCCACGTTGCCGTGGCTGGACTGTTTGTAAACAGCCAGGCCGCGAAGGTGTTCCGCACCGTTGTTTTTTAATGCCTCCCGGTGCCTGAAGCTAGAAAATAGCCTCTTTCCCCTGCTGTCTAAAATGAGTCCCACCAAAAAATAAAAATAAATAAAGTCAGTCCCCCCGCCCCCGCCCCGGCTCGGCGGCCCGCACCTCACCGGCTTCTGGCCCACGACCCGCCCTCGGTATTAATTCCCTCGGCTCCTCTCCTGGGTCTCGTCCTCGAGGAACGGGCGTGGCGTTGGCGCTGGGTCCCCTGCCGCTTGTAGACGCGTCCTGGTTTCGCAGGTTTGCCGGGTGGTTGCTGAGCGCCCTCGGTGCCGGCGGCAGGGCTGTGTGTGCGGGGCTGTGCTGTTCGCCTGTGGCTGTGCAGAGCCTCGCGTGGGGCGGTGGGCGGGGCGGCAGGGAAGCCGGCGGTGAATCCGTGGGAAGCCCCGGGGCGGGGTCCGGGGCCTCCCTGGCCAGGTGACTGAGCTGGGCCGCGTCCTCAGTGGTGACGGAGGTTCTGGTAGATCCTGAGGGTGTGAATGTAAGAATATGAGAGGTATGCTTTCAAGTTTGCACCGGGTAGCACGTGCTAGCAAGTGGGGCAATTACCGAGGGCCCTAAAGGCTGGAAGCCAGGCCCCTCCCCTGGCGACATGCTGGGCTGCAGTGGGGCCCAGAGTCAGACAGCAGAGGTCAGCCCCCTGCCTCTCCCACTTGCCATGGGTCTGTGCAGGTTACTTACCATTTCCTTATCGATAAAGTGTGGCAGTCCTGGCTTCATTGGCTATTGCCAGCACCGGTGGATTAATATCTAAAGTGCTTCAGACGTGTCCGATGAGGGCTGAGCGCCCCGTGGACGTTAGCAGTTTCCAGTAGGAGAGGGTTGCTTGGGGGAAATGCAGGCAGAGAGACAGGTGTGGAAGAAACGACTGCCTGCTGTGTTTGAGTTAAATCTGCTGGAAAGTCCGTTTTTATTTATTGAATTAAAACCCACCATTTAATGCAATGCTCAGTAATAAGACACTTACAAAAACATGGATAAATCTTAAACACATCGTGCCGAGTGATAGAGGCCAAACAGCTACGTATTGTCTGAGTCTCCTCCATGATGTTCTGGAGAACCTAAAACAACAGGGACAGGAAATCGGCAGTTGCCAGGGACTTGAAGGGGAGAGGGGAGGAGATTGACTACACCTGGGCATCAGGGAACTGTTGGGGTTAATAAAAGTTTTATATTTTGATTGTGGCAAAGTATATATCTAAAAAGGGTGAATTTTACCACATGTAGATTATATCTCAAAATCTCATTTATCAACAACAAAGCAGAGCACCCTCCCACACCAAGAATAGTTCATGCACAGCCCTCAGACCTCTCCTCCCCTTTAATGGAGAGACGTTGCAGAGGTTGTGAGCATATTGGGCATAACTGCCAGCGCCATGTCATAGGCAGTCATGTGAATGTTCATGACCCCATGTTCACAATCTGCCCCAAATTAATGGCTCTCAGTTTCACTGTCCCGCCGTCTTCTTGGGCTCTTGTGCTTGAATTGGGTGCTTGTATCTTCAGTGCCATGGGTGGGCCTGGGCTTGTGGAACCGGCTGACACGCAGCAGAATGCCCCCTGCAGAACAGATGGGGTTCTGAAGTTTCGAATCTTAAGAGGGGAAAGGCTTTCTTAAAAAAGATACGTTCTTCAAACACAGCACCTTCCCCAGAGCTCCGTCATCCTTTGCTGCGGCCTGTTGTTGTGAAAGACGAAGATCAACCCAAGCAGCTGCAGTCCTGGGCGGCTGACAGCACTGACGGACTGGTCTCGATTCTTATTTAATATATTTTTATTGATTTCAGAAAAGAAGGGAGAGAGAGAGAGAAACATCAATGATGAGAGAGAATCATAGATCAGCTGCTTCCTGCACATCCCCCACTGGAGATTGAGCCCACAACTTGGGCATGTGTCCTTGGTCGGAACTGAACCTGGGACCCTTTAGACCGCAGGCCGATGCTCTATCGACTGAGCCAAACCAGCTAGGTGTCCATTTTTATTTTACTTGCCCAGCCAACAAAGAGAAAAGCTAGATCTGGGAGTCGTGTCAAGAAATGTAAAAGTTCTGAACAGTTAATATAGTCTACATGTTTACTAGGAGATTCCTTCCTGGGAACTTTGGTTTAACATTGCATGGATGTCCCAGGAACTTTTATCTTAATACGTTAGGAAGAACCTGTGGTTATCTCAGAAAATGTCTTTCCTCTTGATGGACATGGACATAGCCTGTGGAGGTGTAAATAGCCTCTTTCCCCACAGGGCATGGAATGTACTAGTACTTAAGAACAGCCTTTCTGTTTTCATGTTCATTGCACCTTGTAAGTCAAGAAAGGGGCCACTATTATTATTATTACCTGGACCCCAATTCACTATCCTTGTTATTACCTGGACTCCAATTAATTTTCGGAGGTTTTCTTGATTAATTTGAAATTATAGAAAGGGAGGGGGTAGTTTTGAGTGCTCCTTCATCCAGGCCATGGTGAGGCACTGTTTTCCCCCACACATAGCACATCTCTAGTGACTTCAGTTGCTCAAGACCCATGGATGAGTCTCCTCAGGACAGCACTGGCACCAGCTGGTCATTTCTTCCTTTAGATGTGAGAGCATCACGATTGAGTGAGTCAAGACAACATCTGGTTTGATTAGTTTAACCCTTGGGATAGCTGTCTGTCCACTGCGTCCATGTGTTAGATGAAGCTGGCAGGCACCTTAGTGGGAAAGTTGGGCCCTGAGTGTGTGGGAGCTGAGCAGCCCTGGGCCACATGCCCTGACTGAGGGTCCTTGGAACCAGGGAGGGTGGGAGTTGGAGAGCTTTTCAGTTGAGGCCAGGGCCCTGGTCTGGGTCCTCAGTGCTTGTTTGTCTGTTGAAATAGGAGAGGGAAATGTATGCCTAAAACAGGAAAATTAGTTACTACATAACTTAGAGGGAAAGAATTAGTATTTAAAATGAAACCTCTGCACAAGACTCTATTGGAAGGTAAGAGGGTAGTGTGTTATTTTTCTTTATGTCTCTACCTAAATTCAGTGCTCGCTTCGGCAACTCACATACTAAAATTGGAATGATACAGAGAAGATTAGCATGGCCCCTGCACAAGGATGACACGCAAATTTGTGAAGTGTTCCATATTCTTAAGAAATAATCAAGTAGCTAATTCAGAATTGACCCAGGGTAATGGAATGAAACTGTGTTTTCTCCCTATAAAGATGACCTCAACACACATGTTCTCTAACCCAGAGATCCCCATGGGTTAAAATCCACTTTATAATAATCCATGCCCCATCATTGGCCTGAATCCTTGGGGCTGGACTTATGTCCAGAGCCAGCTGCCACTCTGCCCTCCACAGATAGAGCCAAGAGAGTGAGGCCTTCCTAGCCCCATACAAACCCTCTTTGGGCATCACACGTATCCTGGCTCCGGTCAGGGTCTGGGAAAAAGAGCTCAGACTCCAGTGGGGCATTTGCCCTCTTAATCCACAGTACTCTTCCCAAGACCAGGGGATGCCTGGCGAGTGGCTGACGCAGTGCGGAGGTGCACTGTGTTGTGGGGGTGACAGGGTGGGGCTGTTAAGAGACTTGCTCAAAATGTCCCTCTCCCCTCTGCAAACATTTACTGAGGCCCGAAGTGCAGGATGTGTTTCCAGAACCTCTGATAGCCTGCATTTGGAGGTGAGGCTGCAGGCCGAAGTTGGGGCAGACCAGGGGCTCCACTGAGGGAAGTTGGGCTTTGTTAGGGAACCTCAACAGTTCTTGGGGCAGGAGGTAACATAACTGACTCTGTTTTAGAGACCTGCTTCTAGCAGGGATGTTCATTTGGAAAATTCCTGATGACTAATGCCTGCTTTATAACCACTACTGCTACCTGCTGGGATGAATAGCTGTCTTTTCATGCAGGAAGAGGAACAGTGATTATAAAAAGCCTGAACACTGAACCCCCTAAAGCCGTTCATGACAGGAGTTGGAAAGAACTGGTGTAGCCCAGGAACTGAAGGCATGGAATTGCAGGAAAGTGGCTTACTCACCACAACTACATCACCTCCCTCCCCCAAATGTACCTTCTGCGCTGTTCAGTGGGTAAAACACTAGCACCAGGCTGGTGTTTCTGGTGGTCTTTCTGGCCTGACAGGCAGCATGGTGTGTGGGTCTCCAGCATGTGGACATCCTCGGTGCACGCTCACCCTCCAGTCGCTAGCGAGAGTGCTTTCTCCCTCGACATGACTGAAGTCCTGAGATTTTCCTTAGCCGGTGACAGTACTACTCACCCTTCCTTAGCTCTTCAAAGTCTGGCCTTTATTTTTGACCCATGCTTAATTTATTAGGACTTCACCTAGATACAGTGAAGTTCAAATCCAGCCTTCACCATTATAGCTCTGTGATTTGGGATTCTCAGTTTTCTCCCCCATAAAATGTGGATAATAGCCTAATTCTCAGAGTTGTGAGGGTTAAAGGAGGTGTGTCAAAGTCTATGGACCTTTAGTAAGTGCTCAGGACTGTTAGTTGAGATCATCTTCTTTATAAAATCTTTCGTACACCCTGATAGCAGTTGCCCCTATGTGGCCATGGCAGACATTGCTTATCAACCATAGCCTCCTGTGAATTCTCAGTAGAGCACTTAAGAGCCATTACTGATCATCAGAGGAAAATTGTTGAGAAATATGAATAAATTAAGGTTATAGAGGCTACTCTCCATAGCCCCTCCTAAGCCAGTTTACTAATCTGCCCCTTCTCCATTCTCTGATCAGGTATATGAAATTTGTTTTCAAGAATCTTGTTCTCTCTGTAGCCACTGATCTGATTACTATTACTGTAGATCAAGCATGTCAAACTCGCAGCCCTCGGGCCGCATGCCTCATTTATTTGGCCCCTGTTAGCCTTTGAGTTTTAGATGTTTGCCTTTTCTAGAACTTCATAGAGACGGAGTCTTTCAGTATGAACTCTTAATGTCTGGCTTCTTTTACTCAGCACATTGTTTTTGAGCTTCATCTGTGTTACTTGGTGTATCAATAGTTCATTCCTTTTTACCACTGAGTAATATTTCATTGTATGAATATATCACAGTGTACATCCATTCACCTGGTGATTGGCATTTGGTGTGTTTTCAGATTTTAGTGATAGTGAATAGAAGCTACTCTGAAAAAAATAAAGAAGCTCATTGTTCCTTTAGTTATTCAAAATAATCATTTTCAGTTGGTTATCTTTTTGCCCCCTGTTTATGGGCATTGTTTTCTTTATTGAAAGTGTGATTGATGGCATGGCGGCTAGATTTGCCCAATTTCATGGTATTGTAAAATCAAGGAGCATCACATGATAAGAGCATCTTCCCTCCCTTAGTTATAAATATCAGGAACCTTTGCTAATGAGGGTGCCCTGGTGATGGGAGGAGGTGGGATGTGGAGAAGGCAGACGAAGATAGGAAATCTTCAGGACAGGCTCGAGTTGGGATTAGGGTGTGTCTGACCCCCACTGGTGGACGTGCTCAT